ACAAGCAGTAAATGAGCCTCTTCCCACAGCCATCGTGGGAACCCCATCCTCCTGGATGAATTGTGTTAGGTCACTGAAGAGCATGAGCAAACCTCACTCAATTAGAGTTCAAAATCTAAAACACAGCTGATAAGAGAGTCTGCACCCACAACTGTTACTAGATAAGTGTGACTTTAGAATAAATGCAGGGCTTCTTGTGGCTCCTTGAGAGATGGTTATCCTGTCGCGGCCTCTTAGGGTGAAGCCAATCCCTCCAGGGCTTGGAATTTTCCCTAAAGGAAGAGGCAAACACCAGTGTAACTCCCTGGGGGAAATGGAAACTGGAACCCAGAACATCATCTCGCCAATCGAGCAGAAAGATGAAGTGTATTTGCCCTCCTGAGTTAGGAAGTGAGACAGGACGGCTCCGTTCCCAGAGGCAGGATGAGGGAGCAGCGCAGGAGCACACTGAGTGTGTGGTTAACACGTGGCCTGCTGTCCTGTGGGGCAGCTCAGAGCCTCACCTCATTATTATTAGCTTGGGACCTCTCAAGGCCAGAAAGTCCTTGCCTGTGAAATGAGGTTAATAAGAGCGCCCCCCTCGTAGAGTGTGGAGCATTAAATGTGACTTTTCCAAGTAACACATTTATAACAGTAACTTGGCACGTAATGAGGATTCAACACATGCAAACTCTTGCTGCTGCTGCAATGATGATGATGATGATGATGACGACGACGACGACAATGATGATGATGATGACGACGATGATGACGACGACGACGACGACACAGTGAGGAGCTGGGCCAGGAGTTTGAAATGGGGGTGTGCTTCAGGCTAGAGCTCTTTGTCCTGGGGTCCTGTGTAGATGGAACAGGACTTTGAGCCTAAAGAGGAAGCTCTGCCTTGCAAACCAGGCTGTCCAAACCTGACCCGCGTGCTAAGGAGGGAGCAGTGAGAACCTGAACGGGGAAGGGACTTCTCTGGGCAGAGTCAGGACAGAGCGGGCAGCTGCCCCTCCTCACCTGGCTCATCTGGCGCCAACCTTGGCGGATGGCAGCCCTTCCTACAGCTCCGAGCACACCTGAGCCTGTCTACGTGCAGAGGTCTGCTTTTCACATTCAACGAGATCATATCTGGGGAAAGCTACTCGGTCAGGCACTGTGCTGAGCTCAGTCAGCTCCCGGCTGAACTCAGAGGCAGGCTGTAGACAACCACAAGGACAGCTGGGAAGCTGTTCAGGAGCTAAACAACTTTTCTCCATACAAGCGGGAGCCCGACAGAAGCCCCAAAGCAGCCCTAGAGGTGAGAAGACAACGGGGAACTTCATCCAGACAGAAGAGGAAGCAAACGTTTCCTAAGGGAGTGAACACGGGGCTTGCCTAGCACCAGGGGTGTGTGTTCAGCTCAGTCTTTGGTCTGAGTATCATGTTGCTCAGAAGAAAGAATAGGATTCTCTCTCTCTCTGTTTATTTATCTATAAAGACTCAAGTAAAAATCTTTATAGAAGCAGCATAGATGACTTCATTACCTTTTACATTTCTGTTTCATGGTTTCTCTCAAAACCCATCATTCTCAGTTCCATCAGAAAAATAATCGTAGTTTTAGTTTATTTCAAGCTATAAATATAAATAGCTGCTAAAGCAGTTAAGTTTGAGCTGCATTCCTAGAGTTACAGTTTTCAGATGAAGGGACGGCTGTTAACGAGTCCATCTAGCTTCCTCTCTGGAGCTAGAGGACCTCTCTAAAGAAGCAGAGACCAAGCAGGGACAAGCTTGGGGAGGAACTGACCCTGTCCCCAACCTCACAGACCTAGGTCTGGAGCTAGCTGGCCATTTAGAAGCTGTGAGCTTAGAGGACAAGCAAGACACAAAGCCAGAAGGCTAACTGGATTCTCTAATGTGGAGGCCTGACATGTTAGGCTGGAAAGCCTCTACTTACATCAGAAGGTAACAGGGAGCCACTGAACTTTGAGAGCTCAGAGCAACATAAGGAGGATAACTTCCTATCTAGACTTCAATGGGAGGTGGCAACCCCAGAGTCCTTCAGAAGTATCTCTACTCCCTGAGAGGAGACCCCAATTTCTATTCCCAGACTCCACCTCACAGCAGCTTCAAGAGACAGCCTCGTCATTCCTGACCTTAACTCCCCAGTCTGTAAAGTGGAAGCCTCATTTTCAGGTCTGAAAGTGGTCCACTCAGTGGTGAGCAGGGTCACGGGAGCTGGGGCTCCGGGAGGAAAGTGAGGAGAGAGAGGGGCAGTGAGAGGTCAGAGACCCTGGAAGACCAGAGAGGGGCCTCCAAATTTGTTCCTGCACCTGCCACCTCACCTTCCTCAGGTGTGACTCAGGTCAGCCTGTGAACACTTGGTCCCTCACCTCCCCTGGCCACTGAGACCGTCATGCACAGTGATGGAGGAGAGGAATGGACAGCTCTTCACAGGAGCAAGAGGCACCACACAAATGCAGGCCAGGCCCCACTGCCCAACTCCAAAGGCAGCCCTGACCTTTTGCTCCTTGGAACTCGGTGGCCCGGAGTGCTGCCTGGAGAGTCTGACTCCACAGGGTCCTCACCGAGCCACACAGGTGTCCCGACTAGACACCTGCCTGCGTGAACGTCCAGAATACAAATCAAAACCGACCTTTGGGATGAGTGATGCTAAGGGATCCTTCGCTTTACAAAAGGATTCGCCTCATTCTCTTTTTCTGAGACAGTGTGAGGTAGAGAGTCAGGTAAACTCAGGTTCTGATCCAACATGACCTGGCCAGGTGACCTTTGACAAATCACTTAATATCTCTGACCTTCAGATTCTTTAGCTGGAAAATGGAAATAATAACCACAGGGTGGTTGTAAGGATTCAATGAAGTAAAACCCTGAGTAAACGGAAGGCAGTATTCCCACCGTTGCTATTAGCAGGAGCTCTTACGATGCGCCAGGCACCACTCTAAGCCTCCTACACTCACGAACTCATTGAATCATTAAACAGCCATTTACCCTGGGGGTTTTAAACATAACGTGCATTCTTCCCTTAAAAGCTGAAAGCTTCATTTAAAGAATAATTTGCAACTAAAAAGTTTAAACAACAATATAATTCAGTAATGTGATGGGAGACAAAATTAACATGTAAAATATCTATAACCTTCAGATATACAACAACCAGTTTGAAGATATAAGAAATGCTTCAGTTACAATTAGCAACAACAAAAAAAGAAAATACTTAGGAATAAACCTTAAAAGATGTGTAGAAAGTCTGCAGGAAGAAAGCTTCTGAATGCTACTGAGAGATTCAAAAGAATATTCAAACTTAAGAAATGACATATTCTTAGATTGGAAGACATGTCATAATAAATGTGTTAATTCTCTCTAAATTAATCTATAGTTTTAAAATGACCTCAAGGAAAATAACAAAAGGTTTTTTTTTTCTTTTTAACTAGACAAGCTGAGTCTAAGGTTCATATGGAAAAAGAAACAAGGAAATAGCCAGGAAAACTATAAGGGAGAGTAATGGGTCTGGTGGGGGGAATTCACCTGGTGGTAAAACATTATAAAGGTACAAGTTTAAACAAACGTGATCCTGGTCATGAGAAATACATGAGGCAGAACACAAAGTCCAGAAACAAAGGCAGATTCAGTCATTCTGAATATGATAAAGACTATATTTCAAATAAGCAAGGGAAAGATGGATTTTTAATAAATGATATTGGTTTGGCCATCAGAAAAAAGTAAATTTGAATCTTTTCCTTACTCCTTACACCAATATAAATTGTAGAGGTATCGAGATTAATAAATGTAAAAAAAAAAACAAGCCATAAGGATGCATCAAAAGCAGTACCTAGAGGGATATTTATAGCCTTAAATAGATATATTAGAAAAGAAGAAACCAAAGATCAATGAGCCAAGCAATCATCTCAAGAACTTAGGAAAACAGACCCAAAGAAAACAGAAGGAAGGAAATTATAAAGACAATGTAGAAATTAATGAAATAGGAAAGCAAACACACAACAGAGGGTCATCAAAGTCAGAAGTTTGTCCTTTGAAAAGTCTGTTTTTTAATGAAGACTAAAAGTACTAAAAGAAAACATGGACACAATTGTGATCCTGTTGGCAGGGAAGACTCTCCTAAGCGTGATGGAGTCCCTGGCACTCCCTCATGCCTCCTTCTGCTTTACTGTTCTCCAGATCACTTATTGCCACCTGGTGCTCAATTCACTTCCCTGTTTATTTGCTTGTTATCTGCTCCCCAACTAGATGAACGCTGTGTCCCCAATACCTAGAACAGTCCTGCCCTATAGTAGGTGTTTAGAAGTATCTGTCGAGTGACTGTTTAAGAAGTGGGGGAGGTCTTTAATGTACAAAGAGTTCCTAAAAATCAGTAAGAAAAAGAGAAAAGGATATGAGTAGAAAGTTCTTAGAAAATAAAATACAAGCGTTTCTTACATATATAAAAAGATGTTCAATTTCATTCATAATAGGAGAAATGCAAATTGAAAAATAATGAGATACCATGTTTTAACTATTATGTTGGCAAACAATTTCTTTTAAAAAAGTTGATAAAATCGTCTCATTTGCAACATGGATGGACCTTGAGGGTACGATGTTAAGCGAAATAAGCCAGACAGACAAAGACAAACACTGCATGTGGAATCCTATGTGGAAGATAACAAATACGTGGATAAAGAGAACAGATTAGTGGTTATGAGAGGGGACAGGGGTTGAGAGGGTGGGTGAAAGGGATAAAGGGGCACGTATGTATGGTGATGGATAAAAATTGGACTACTGGGGGTGAGCACAATGAAGCGTATTCAGGAAGTGATAAACAATAATGGGTGCCTGAAATTACACAGTGTTATAAACCATTTTAATCCCAATAAAATTACTTAGAAAAAAGTGCAAAACAATACAATTGCTTATAGAACAATAATGTAAGTCATCGTAAAAGTTACAGAGGAATAATGTGTATGAAGTTCATGTAGTGATTCCCCTGGGGAAGGGAAAGAATGAAGATTGTTCAAATACATGATGTGGAGGCTTCATATACACCCATATGATTTATTGCAATAAAACACCTACAGTGAGAATAGTGACATGGATGAATTCGATAAATTTGATAAATTTGACAGGCTGCTCATTGTTACTCTTTACTTTTGTTTCACTTGAATAATCCATAATAAAAATAAACCTATGTAGGATCAAAATATTAAAAAAAAAAAACTTAAGTCGGTAACACACATGTTGCCAATAGAAGAAGGTTAAATTGTACAATCTCTGTGGAAAATAATTAAACCACATTTATCAAAATTACAGGGGCACATCCCATTGCTCATTAGCACATATCTATCAAAATTATGAAGGCACATACTCATTTTGCACGTGTTTGTTGGAAGGCATTAGAAATACTCCTAGCAGCAGTGTTCGTAATTTAAAAAAATGGAAATAAGTTAGATGTCTATCAAGAATGAACTATTTAAATAATCTATGGTACCTCCACACAATGAAATTCTTTATGGCCATTAAAATAAACGAGTCTGCTCTATATGTTCTGCTTTGGAAACGTCTCCAAAATGTACTGTTAAATAAAAAAAAGATGCAGAATAGCATGGAGGGGCGTGACCATTTGTGTGTGCTGCAGGCACTTGCAGAGGCTTAACATATGTCTGGAATGATACATGAGAAACTGATCACAGTGCTCGCCTCTCGGTGAGGACCTGCATGACAGAGGGGAGGCGCGGGAGAAAGATCCACTTCTCCTCATATACCTTGTGAATGTTACACCTTGTGTCTGTACCACATAGTCAGTATAGCTGTATCTGCTTCCATATGCATATGAGATCTCTAGAAAGGGAACATCTGAAACGGGCCACAGAGACATCCTCTGCAGAGGGAAACTCGGGGCCAGAGGACCTTGGGAGGGGAACTTCGTACTGGACTTACTTTAGTTTTGTTTTAACTTCTTTTTGACCATATGAATGTATTCATTAAGATAGCAAAATGCATTTCTCCTTGCTCCTCTAGACTGCCCCTCTCTCCTGGACCCCTGCCCCATCCTATCCCCTCTCTTCAGGCACACTCTGCTGCTCGCTGCAGCACAGCATGCTGGGAAGAGCATGGACTGTGGAATCAGACAGACTGGGGTTGTCATTGTGACTTGGAGCTTCCTCGTCCTCATCTGTAAAATGGGGATACCAGTAGTTATCTACATTATAGGGCATGCGAGGATTAAAGGACAGGATATATGTAAAGTGAGCTCTCAATAAACAGCAGTTACTGTTAGCATTTACTTGCCTTTCTGGACGATGGCTATAACACCCATGAGGGCTGGGGGGCTGGTCTTCCAGGCCTTGTGCTCGGAGGTATACCTCCTCCCTTTAGCAGCTACCTACAAACTCTGAAGGAAGGAAGACGTGGCAAAGCTTTGAGCAATGACAGTATCTTCTAATATTTATTGAGAGCAGCAAGGACATTCCTCTTGTTTGTACTTGGGGGGTGGTGAAAGAGGGTGTCCCAAATTGCCCACAGGCCCAGCTTCCTGGGGCCCCAGACTCCCAGCCCGGGAGGAAGTCTTGTTCAATGTAAACAGAAGGAAGAGGGGGGCTCTGCTCTAGGGTGAGCTGGCATCAGCTGGGCGGGGTGGGGAGGGGAATGTGCAGGAGACAACAGGAAGGGAGGAGGCTGTTTGCCTCACAGTCCTGGGAAGGGAGAATCAGACGCAAAACCTGCCTTGCCCCAGGGCCAGCATGGGGCTCTCCATCCTGAGTCAAATATAGACCCATTTCCATAAAAGCACCAGCCTGCTTCTATAAATACCTCAGCCAGTTTTCCGGGGTTCTCATGTGACTTTGATGCCTACCTCGTCTGCGGGGCTCCATCTCCATGGTGACCGGGTCATGTGACCAGCCACTCTTCATTCATGGCAGGTTGCCGCATCCTGGCCTGGGGGCGGGGTGGTGAAGGAGGACGGGAGGGAGGGCCAAGGAGAGGGAGAATGGGGATGAACAATGAATAAAGATAAAGTGTCCAGACTTGGGGGAGACTGTAGAGCTCGAGGCTTACTAAGAGTATGCTCTGACAGAATTCTTGATCTCCCCGGGCTGGCTGTCAGGGGAGGAACATTTTTATTCGAGAAGCAATAGTCATCCTTGCCTTTGAGTCAGAGAAGCAAACATTCAGACCTGTAAGGCACCTTGACAATCCTCTAAGGTTGTTACAACCCCCTTGTTCTCAGGTGAAGAAAACCAGGCCCAGAAAGGTGGAGTGACTTGTCCAAGGTCACGTGGCAAGTCAGTTGCAAAACTGGGACAAGAACCAGGGTGCGTGTCAGTAGCAGGCTACTCTCCACCTAGTTGGGGCTCAGCTCTGGGCTGCGCGCTGTGGCAGCCACAGAGACATAAGTGTGACTCTGGTGAGTGAGACTTTCAGTACCTTTGTTCCCAGCTTATGCCACCTGGTGGGAGTCATAGGTCCTCTAAGGGAAGTGAAAACAGAACTCGTTTATTCTGTGCCAAGACTCGGCCCTGGCCTCTTGGCTGATAAATGTGGAGAGAGTGGCTAATAAATCGTGAGAAGTCCTGCAGTGTCGAGCAAAGCCAGATGTCATCGTTGGTAATCTGTGGAAGTCTTTTTGTGATCAGAATGTCCCAGATCTGTCCCCATCCAGCTGAATCCCTCAGACGTCACCAATTCCTGCATTCCTCCTTGCCTTGTGCTGAGGATGAGACAAAAAGGAAGAAAAAGAACAGCTCCTGCCCTCGCAGAGCTGCCGTGCTTAGGTCCACGTGGAGAAGCCAACTGAGGAGAATCTCTGGGGATGGACCTCGTCTGCAAGCAGGGTTGGCCAGAGAAGTCAGGAAGTCAGGGAAGCTTCCTGGAGGAGGGGAGGCGGGGGGTGCACAGCCTGGCAGGCGGACAGGGAGGAGCATTCTCAGGTGGCCCTGGGTGCTGGGACAGGACCTGGGTGTCCTGGGAGGGGGACAGTGCTATACCGAGGAGGAAAGGCTGGCCAAGCCTTGGGATAGGATGCTTCTGACTGCAGAGCTGAGTCACATGGTTCAATCACATGAGCTCCAGCACTCAGCAGTGGAGGGTCCAGGAGGAGCTGGATTCAGAGAAGACAAAGAAACTCTTGCTTTGATATATTCCTGAAGGAGGCAGAGAACAAAGCAGACATCACCACAGGGCGGCAAGACCATCAGCATCAGCCATGGGCTCGTCACCACCTGGCCTTGGGACAGATGTCCAGCAGGCTCCACGGAGTTTAAAATCCACCATGCTGGAGGCTGGCAGCAGCCGGAGTGGCCCAGGGCAAGGCTCTGTCTCCCCTATTCTTCACCTGTGCAGTCTCTGTGGGGCTGAGGACAAAGCATCCCAACTGCCCCCACCCCCGAGTCTGTGAGCCAGCCTAACGGTGGACGGACCATGACAGCCAGTCGCCAACCTCCAAAGGGGAGAGCAGTCTCTCTGATGAGGGAGGACGAGCTGGCTTGTGTGCACGCCACGCTTCCTCTCTGCTTCACAACAGCTGAGCACCCACGCTGTGTGTGTTTACTTTACCCAGACCGCCAGCAGCTGGAGGCCAGAGACAATGCCCAACCTACTTCTGTAAACCTCTCGCCTGGCTCATGGCAGGGGGTGTTGAATGGAAGCACAAACTCATTCAATGCTGGCTGGTATTTGGCTTGGTGGTGTAGACAGAGCACAGCTTTGGCGACAGACCTGAATCTGCGTCCTGGCTCTGTCACCCACCCGTGTGGCCTTGGGGAGCCTGCTTAGACTCTCTGAGCCTCAGTGGCTCATCTGTGAAGGGGGATAATGTTACCTACTTTGAAGAGCAGTTGTGAAAATGAGAGGCAGTGGTTACCAACCGTCTGGCACACAGAAAGGATTTTAAAAGGCAGCTGCCTCTATTGCAGTGAGCCCCAGCTCCCTTGTCACTCGCCCTGGAATTCTCCTGCGTCTGCCCACTAGCACATTCCTGTGCACCATCCCTTCTGCCTAGAAGGACTTCCCACTTGGTGCCACTCGTCAGAAGCCTTTCTGTCCTTCAGAGCCCCATCGCAATGCCACTCCTCCCTGCTGTCTTGCCTGATCAGCTCCAGCCCACAGGAGGTTCCTTGAGTCGACTCTGCCAGCACCTCTACTGGCCACAGTGCTGTCCTTAGGCACACCGCACACCCTGCCTTTAACAGCAATAACAAGAACCGTCATGATGGAGCACCGTTTACTGCTCTAGGATGAGACTTAGGGCAAGTGACTTGCCACACAGCTAACAGGTGGCAAAGGTGGGAGATGAACCCAAGTCCACCTGGTTCCACAGCTTATGCCCAGCTTCTGCATTCTTATTCTTAATTATTGTTAATCATACTCTTAGTTGACCATCTTCACTCTCTCCAATTATACTATAAGCCTGTGTGGTGTGGCAGAAAAATCACGGGTCCTGGAGTCAGCTGGAAATGGGTTTAAAGCCCACCTTTGCCCCTGACAAGCTGGGGACCTTCTGTGGGTTCTTAACTTAATCTCCAAATCTGTTTCCTAGTCTAGAGCTGTGTGTGAGCAGTCCAGTGAGATGGTATGATGTGTGGTGAGGGGCCTGTCTCATAACAGCAAATGGGACCACTCACCCATCCTGTTTCCCCAGGTGGCCAGGTTCAGAGTGAGGGCACCGGCTGGTACAGCAGTGCGTGCCCTGGCCCAGCACCATTCGAAGGGCTCCTGCGCTTCCTTTCATCTTCTTCCTGACAACAACGGCACGAAGCAGATACTCTTAATATCCCCATTTGACAAAACCAAAACTGAAAGAGGTTAAGAGACTTGCCGGATGTGACGTAAGCAAACCGCAGAGCCGGCGTTGCACCCGGATCTCTCTGAGCCCAGAGTCCCGGCTCTGATCCCCTGCGGCCTCTCGGCAGGTGGCGGATGGATGATTCCTCTTCCCTTTCTGCTGTAAGATAGTTTAAGCAGGAATCACAAACTCCGTTTTACAGATGGAGAAGTAAAAGCCTGAGGGCATTAAGTCACTTGCCCAAGGTCACAAGCCAGTGGGTGGCAGAGTCAGCTCTCGAACTCAGGGCTTCTAAACCCAGTGCTCCCCTTTCTCCCTCACTCCCTGCTGCCGGTGGCGGAGATTCTTGAGACAGAGGCATGGCGACTCTGGGACCGTGGCCAGGACATTGGCCACATGCCTCAGCCTGGGCCCAGCAAGCCTCCAACCATGGAGGAATTTGCTTTGAAGACAAAGGATGACTCCTGGCAAGGAGAGTCGTTCCTATTTCTGCCCCAGACAAATGAGAAGCTGCCGCAGATTCCATGATAAATCTTTTTGCTAAAGATGATGCATCACTTGGGCTGGTTCTAAGCACAGAGTCTTTGGACATTATACAAGTCAATTACTAAGACCAAGTTCTCAGCTCCGAGCAGAGATATTTTCATCGAGTGGCTGTAACAGAGCCAGGGCCTCCCAGGGATCCAGCTGGGAAGCTGGTCCACTTCGAGCGATGTTGGGGGTGACGGCAGAGTGGTGACGGCTGCCCCAGGAGCCCGGCAGGAAAGGTGTCCCCCACTCCCATCATGATGGCCTCACATGCCCTCACTCTCAGCTGCCTGGAGTTGAGGAGATAAGGTTCCCTTCCAGGCCAAACCCCAAGTACAGAGCTGCAAACAGGGCCTGGCTTCCCCAGCGCCAAGGCTCAGAGGCACTTGCCCTGTATCCTGAGGGGCTCCCTGCTTGAGCTCAGAACACTTCCAGGTCATCTCTCTGCCCCCAAAGCATCACAGCTTGCTGAGGCTGGCCCCTGAGAACTGCTCCAGGCTAGCAGGTCCAGCCTTCCTTCCTACCCAAAACCCTAGGAGAAGCACACGGCTGGTCTTCCAAGGCCAGGAATTTTAAACCTAATAAGTTTGTTGCTCCAACAGGGTCTTCCTCTGGCCTGAGTGTGGCATTCAATGTTTCATAACCAAAGTTTGAGGTCCTAGCAAGAACACTGGGTGGGAGAAGTAAGCTTCATTTACTGCTGTGTGACTTCAGGCAAATCTTTAACTTCTCTGGGCCCCAATTTCCTCATCTAAAAATGTGGTAAGTGGTTATTCCTACCTCCAAAGTGGTAAGATTCATTCTTTGGGATTCCAAGAAGGCAGTTGAAGATGGCTGGAACATAAGATGAGGGGGTTGGGGGTGGTGAGAAAGAGGGAGGCGAGATTAAAGAGAGAGGGCAGGGGTCTGAATCACACAGAACTTGAATGTCATGCTAAAAAGCTCAGATTTTATTTTAAAGGTAGTGGAGAACCAGGGGAAAATTTTAAGCATGGGAGTAGAGTTGCCATATTTAGCAAATAAAAATGCCAGACATCTAGTTAAATTTGAACTGGGCATCCTGTATTTTATCTGGCAACCGTGCACGGCAGTGACAGAGAAAGCACTTTGGCCACTGACTGGAGAATGCATCGGAGGGTACACAACTGGAAGCAAAGAGCATTTAGAGACTATTATATTCCAGGCAATAATCACAAAAGTTAATATTTGTTGAATGCTTGTTTTTTGCCAGGTACCATTCTATTTTGTGTGTATAAATTCATTTAATTCTCCTAACAAAAGTGTAGTATCTAGTCTCATTCCCATTTTTACAGGTGAGAAGACTGTGGCACAGAGAGGTTAGGTAACTTGCCCAGGTCACACAGCTAGTTAGTGGCAGAACTGGGATCAGAGTCCAAGGACCACTTGCTTAACCACTGTGACGTGCTGCCACCCTGGAGGTCACAAGAACCTGAACCCAGGCCATGCAGTGGGAACCGGATGATAGTTAGAAGCTGTTTTGAAGTCCCAGTCCCTGGCTCGGGGGTGGCATCCTGTGACCGGCAGAGAAGTGAGAAGGGAGGCACAGGAATCGCATCGTATCACATGACACTCACATGTTCAGATCACTCAATACTTTTCAAAGCAGGAAATTCAGCTCGTCAGAAAGAGAGCCAGCAATTCTTCAGCATCGGTCACACACCGGGCGCGTGTACAGTGGTCCTCGAGGTTTTAAGAGGCACCGTCAACAGGGCGTGGTCCTTGACTGGATGTGGGGTGAGGGCGAGAGGGGGTAAAGGGAGACTCAAGGGTTCTGTTTTGGGGTGACTGAGGGTGACGTTAACCAGAGAAAGCATTTGGGATGATGAGCAGCATGGGGTCTGGGCCCAAAGTGTGGGGAGTTGGAGAGAAGATGCATTCATTCCAGGCCATGCTAAATTTATCAGCTACAATGAGGCAGTTAAGGCCCAGAGAGGCTAAGTGACTCTCCTGGATTCACACAGAAAGTAGGTGTTAGGGCAGAAACTGGAGCCGGAGTCTCTTGACTGTATCTGGGTGCCCGGCACAGACAGAGCCCTGGTCTAGGTTCAAAGATGGGATGAGGACGGAGAGACCTCAAAACACAAAACGTGGGCAGTATCTGGGACCCTGTTTGAAGCAGGTTCAGGCACGCCTACGTGCTCGGCCCTGAGAGCAGACCTTGCCCCTTCAACTCTGAAACGAAAGCTGAGGGCAGAGCTGGGCTGAGTTTTAGACACTGGGGGCCAAAAACAATCTCTCTGCAACGGTTTTTCTCCGTCTGTAAAAAGAGAACAACATCCACAGCAGAGTTGTTTTGAGGATGAAATGAGGTACATAAATGGGAAAGCGACGTAATTTGTGACTGTGCCATTATTCCGTCCTTCTGCCTCTGCCCTGCCCCCTCCCCCTTTCCATCCTCCTCCATTGTCCTCTCTCCTCCACTCCCGCTCCTGTTCCCTCGTCTTCCTGCCCCTCTTTTGAAGCCTTGGGACAGAGCCCGGTCCAGAGAGCGTCTGCAGAAGAGCAGCCTGGAGACAAAGAGGCCACCTCATGTCCCTCGCTGGCCACCCCGATTCTGTGGCCTGGACCAACCCCCACCCCACACACACTCACATGCCACACAGGGCATCCCACCACACTGGGACCAGCCCACCTGGACTTCTCTCCAGCTGACCCCCATCAACTCTCCTCCCTGCTTCCACGTGCACCGGCCTCCCAGGGAGCCCCTCGGGAGGCGGCAGTAGGGACAGTAGGAGCAGCGGTAGAGGCCTAGGGGATGGGGAGGCTCCAGCCCTGACGGCCTGGAAATGTACAAAGCCGATCCCTAGGGACCAAAAGAGAGCCTGACGTCAAACCAAGGCTGAAAATACAGTCTGGAAAGTCACGCTGCACCGTGAAAAATGAGCTGCTCTCCCCAGCCGGAGACGTGGGGAGTGGGGAGAGACATAAATCCCGGTTCTTTGGAGTCTCAAAAGAGCAGGGGCGGCGCTGTGAGCCTCTGGAATGCCTGCTGAGAGGTTCTGGGGTCCCCAGTGCCCCATTCCGGGGCCGAGGCACCTGCAACAAACCCCCACCGCGACTCCCATGAGCAGACAGCGCCCTGAGAACCAAGGAGCACCCAGGGGACCCTAGGGGGTGGTCCAGCGCCCCCTCCCCCACGCCCACCCCTGCCCAGGGTGTCTCTGGCTAAGCCACAGTGTGGTGGGTACATGACCTCCCAAACCACACCCAGAGGGCCCAGCCAGCCAGGACCAATGCCTCGGTGCAGGGGTCAAGGTCCCCCGATGACACGAAGCTCTGACACCCTAGCCGGCCCAGGAGCCTGCCCTCCCATCTCACTTTCTCCACCCACTCACCCCCACGAGTACTTATTAGTTGCCCGGTTAATACAGGAGAGACTGAAGTCCAGAGCTGTTGGGTGGCCCAGTGCCCACCCCCCAGCCTCAGGGAGGGCCCCGGGATCCTCTGCAGCACGTGGTTCTCAGAGGCCAGACTCCCACTCGGACTAGTGTGAAAGCAGCAGAGGAGCCCCAGGCCCTGAGGGCTGGCCCGGGGGTGGGGCCTTCAGGGCCGGCCAATGTCAAAGGCAGATGCCCCCCCCCCCACCCCCGTCTTGGCTCTCCATAACCTCCCAAGAATTAAAGCAGTCCCAGAGAAAGTGATGGGTGTTCCCCCCAAAAGCGACTGAGGTTAGGCTTTCACTACCCTGCGGCAATAGAACCAAAAGAGAATTTAAGCTGTTTTAGAAAATAAAGAAAACTTGACTGCTGTCACCCTGAGTTGGAGATTAAGATCCTCGCCTTCCACACACTCTCCTATCACTGCGTCTCCTTCCCTCTTCTGGTCTGCCCCTCCAGCCTCTCTTTTCAACACCCCAGCTCCGGTGTTGTCTGCTCTCTAAATCCCCCCGCGTCTCCCGCACCATGACCCCTCTACAATGAGCTGCTCTCTCCCCCGAGCTTCTCCTTCTCCACAGGCAGCCTCCTCACCCTGCATCGCAGCGTGTCGCAGACGTGTCTGTCTCCTCCCGCAGTGCCCCTCCGGGGCAGAGAGGTGTCTTGGTCATGTCTGCGACCTTCAGGGTTCAGCTCCATCCAGCCAGAGGGAGGGCCTGGCTGACACCCATGGAATCTAACCACACGAGATTCGTTTTTATGCCACCCTCTCAAAGACCCTAAAGAGACAACTAAGGTGTGGAGCCCTGGGCTGACAGGCAGAGGGGGCACCAGACTCCCCTTCTCTGGGCGCCTGTCCACAAAGGGCTCTGACCACCCTGGAGTGGGACTGGGTAGGAAGCAGGGGGCGGCTAAGGATAAAGCTCCTCATCTAGGTGGTCAGGTGCAGGGTCAAGCCTCAGGGCATTTGTATGAAAACCTGTCAGAGCACGTCACTCAGCTCAAAGTCCTGTCGTGGCTCCTCATCTCACCTGGGATGTAAACCAAAGTCCTTAGCATGACCCCAAAGCCCTGTGTGATCTGACTCTGTTATCTCTCAACCTGTCTCATACTGTGCTCTGCCTCCTTCTTCCTGTTGCAGCCACAGCAGGCCTCCTACAACACCCCACCTCAGGACCTTTGCACCTGCTCTCTCCCAGTGCTCAAATATCACCTCTGGGGAGGCCTTCCCTGACTACCCTTTTTGAAACCACACACACAAGCATACACATACACATACACACACACACACAC